GTGAAACTGGGTCAGGTGGCAGAGGACAGACAAGACACAAAAACCCAGACACCACTAGGTCTAGAAACGCCGGTGTTTAATGGGTGTGCTGAGTCTACATTTAATTGTTATCGGTTCAAGTCTACTCCACCATCTATCTATCTGTCTGTCTGTCTATTTATCATCTAGCATGTATTATCTGTCATTCATGTATCAATATACCTACCTGTAGCCTACCTGTCTATCATCTGTTTACATATCTACTTATCTTTCTATGTTCTATTTACCTATCAGACATCTATTAATCACATGACATTCTTATCTTTGAATCTTTCTATGTCCAGTATATCAGTTTATCATCCATCATCATCTAGCTGTTATCTCTCCTGAAAGAAAAACACTGGCCTTGGTTATTTTGTCTGGACAGGGATGCAATGCAGTTTTGTTTTGTTTTGTTTTCTGTGCTTTGGAAATGTCTGTTGCTTTACAACTCTGTCAGTCCACACAGCCTGGTGTTGGGGACATCTGATTGTATGAGCTGAATTTTGACTCAAGGTAGGGACTGAATACAATGATCAGGAAACACGAAACACCTAGCAAGTCGCAAACAAAAAAACCAATGAAATGGTGAACTGTGCAAAATAAAGAAGCGTTTAGACTTGGAAGGTTATAGAAGGAGGGGAAAAGAGGCTGGTCGTTCAGTGTAGGGGACACCAAGTACATTCCTCCATTGCTCACAACAACTCAGGAAGCAGAGTATCCTCTCGGGGAGGCTGACTGACTGTTGAAGGCGAGACGTGGGGATCCGGATGGGGTTCCTGCTCTGCCTTCTTTGGCTCGCTGGTCCTCTGCCAGCATTCATTGGAGCACTTGCTGCCGTCCCCATTGTTACAGCTTCAGGTCTGGGTGAGGTTGGGTGGTCCAGGGAAGGAGCACAGACTTGGTCAGCCATCAGCCTTTCACTCAGCTCCGCTGTCACCTCCTGAAGATGAACCCGGGCCAGGTGCTCCGCTCAGTTTGCCATTTGTTGGATGGAGGCACAGGTGTGGCCCTTGTAGACCTGCGGTGAGGAAGCTAGCAGAGAGCCCAAGGGACAGCACCCTTTCTCTGTGTCTCACGTGCACAGCCTGTGGTTTTGAGCTAGAACCCGCGGTGGGAACAGTGTTTCTAGTTCAGTTGAAGTGAGAAGAGACCCCTGCACAACCTCATACTGGTCTGTGAGGGCTTACTTACCCTCTGACCTAATGTCCTCTGTTGACTCCAATGTCCTCTGTCCACTCAACTCCAGCATGAGTCCTCCTCTGGTCACCACCAATGGCTTCCTCCAGAACCTCTCGTCTCTTCTTTTTGTACATGTATGGTTGGCTTTCTTCTGCTTCCCAGGACATGGGGTGTCTCAGTGACTCTTCAACGTGGGCAGAACCTTTATCTTTACACGGGGGGGGGCACTGGAGATGGGGTCCCATTGGTATGGATGTAACCATTAGAGACTTTTAGAGATCCAGTGGCAATAACTGAAAAAAATAATGCCTTTTAAGTTTCTGAAAACAAACAAACAAACAACAGAATTTCTCTGGAGAGATGACAGTCTACATTACTCCATGAACTTGAATCAGTTTCACCACCAGTCTAGAGGTTTCCTCAGGGAGTTTCATTTTGCTGAGCAGGCACACTCTTCTGGAGAGATGCCATCCCTTTAGCAACCATTGGACCATTCCCCTCAGCGAAGGTCACCCATAAAACCCAGGCCTCACCCAATCAAGGGCTTCTCTCTCTTGGCGTGAAATAGCCGATGGTCCCAAATCTTCCGTGACATTCTTTACATTGTTCTTTTCATCCACGGAGTCTGCCACCCTGTTTCTTTGCTTTTTAAAGAGGAATATTTGCCATTTACAGTGGACACAGCTTCTGTGTGGGTAGTGAGGTAGGACAATGCCTGATGCTTGCTGAACTCTTTTAGAACCTCAGAAAAACACCAATCTGAAGAAGCACAGCAGTTTTCTCTTGAATTTAAACTTTCTGTTTCAGAGAGGAATCCGTTTTACAGTCACTGATTCCCCCATTCTCAGAGCTACAGGGAGGCAGACAGCCTAGTGTGGATCTCGAGCTCATAGAAGGTTTTGTTTTTCTTTCTTTTTTTATAGTACACATATGGGAATTACACCAAGGGCCTATGGGGCTCTGTTAAGAACAGCTGCAAAGAAGCAGATATCCTGTGGGCCTGGCCTCAGACTCATGCAGGTCCTAGGCTGACAGCTGCCCGGTGCCTCTGTCTCTAATAGCACAGTGACTCCAGCCATCCTGGTCTTGTGCTCTGGAAAATGCTGGGCAGACAGAACAAATACTTTGGGGCAGGGGAACAACTGCTTTGAAAGAATAGATTGTTCTACACCCCCAGCTGTGGGCCATTTGTGAGAAAGACTCCACACTAGGACGAGGGGCGAGACAGCTGTTGCCATGGCTTAGATTTCCAACCAGAGTAAATTGTTGGCTCCTGGACAGGATTTTGATCCAATGTGGACATTCAGCTGTTGGCGTCTGTTACGGGATGACGTAGGATGCCAATCCCAGAATCTCTCTGTCTCCCTTCTTCTCTGTGTCCCTCTCTCCCTCTCCCCCCCTCACTCTGTGTAGATTAGCATGAGGCTGGAGTTATACATTGGTTGTTTCTGTGTGTGTGTGTGTGTGTGAGCATGGAGGCTGGAGTTATGCGTTGTCTGTTTTCCTCTGTCGCCTCTTCACCACCTCATTATTTGAGGAAGTGTTTCTCACTGAACCTTGTGTTTTGTCAGAGGAAGGAGTGATGACCTGAATCAGAGACACGCTTTTGAGGGGGTGACACAGGGTCTTGTTAGCTGCCTAGGCCGGTCCCCAGCTTGCAGGCTCACGTGTTCCTGTTGCCTCAGTCTCTTCAGTAGCTGGGTTGGCGGGCATACACCCACACACAGACAGCTGTTTCTTAAGACATGCGTCAGATGTGAGGCTGCTTTGTGAGATCAGGTGAGTAAAGAAGGCATTGTCTCTGCTTTGAGAAACCGGGTAAGGATGTGAAGAATCGGGCATAGGGTACATGCAAGCACACGTGCGCATAAATACATGGACACACACGTATGCATACATGCATGCACATACACACATGCATATACACACATGCTCACAAGCATTTACACATATGTTCATACACACTTCTATATACATACACACATATGTATTACACAAGCACATTTGTACACATGCATCGGCACACATGAACACATAGATACATACATAAACTTCTGCATACATACAATCACTCAAACTCAAGCACACATGCACACACGCAGGCAAAGACATACTTGTTCATGCACACCCATGTGCATACACAAACGCACAGACTTTAAGACAGGACATAATGCTTTGAGGGCTTCAGCTTGGTCTCTGACCTGTCGCAGGAAACACTCAGTGTACCTAAAGGAAGAACACATTTGAGACACAGAGCTAAAATGGAGAAAATCGTAGTGTTTGAAATGAGAGGGTAAATAAATTTCAAACGAAAAGTGGTCCAGAGGGCATGACTTTAGGCCATCAGTTGGGGCAGCGTAGTTAAGCCAGGTGACGATGAGGTTTTCAATAATGAAGATGCCATGAGTATCTGCAGTGACTGAGCTCTCAGAGGAGCTAAGGCAGGGAGGGAGGGAGGGTACGTGGGAACAAAGCATGGGGAGTGGACCGGGGCAAAGACTGCGGGAGGAGGAGGAATTCAATCTCTTCAGGCAGCGCAGATCCATCAACCAAATTAACATATTTCATGGGGAATATCAAATCAAGATAAATTGATACTGTACCTTAAGAAGATGATATCTATCTCTCTGTCATCATCTATTATCCATCTCCCTATTATCTATCTCTCTGTTTGTCTATTTTTCTATCTTCAAATGCCGCTAAACACACAGCAAAGAAAATCACACTAATTGAGGAAAGCACCAGTCATTTTTTATTAAAACGAACTGAAGTAAGAGTTAAAAACAAACAATGCATACCTCTATTGAATGAAGAATAAGACGGTGATAAAAACATCACATTAGTAACAAAATAGTCTCTTTGAGCTACTAATGAGCAAACAGAAGAAACAGACACAGGTCCCCTTGAGAATAAGGATGCTGACGGGCATTCTAGACTTGGTAAGTTGTCACAGATATGGGCGTGCCCACTGAGAGGAGTGTAGGAAAGGAAGGGACAGTGAATGTGACTTGGGGTTCAGAAGGATGACAAAATAAGGAAGGGGGAGATGAAGGAGAAGATCCTGGGGATTTAGAAGTGAGAGCACAGGTGAGCTGCTGGAAACGTGTGAGTCAGTGGGCAGCGTGGGTGTGTAGGGCGATGATGACTACGGGTGTCAGCAGGATTCTGCCCGCTGCTCTTCATTCTGTGTAATTGAGATGCTAGAACGGGGGTTTACCAAAGCTGGTCCCCAAATAATGAGATCAGAAAGGTGCCAAGTGCTTCCTTCTGGGAACAGCCCCAGGTCCAACAAGGATACTGTACAAACACTTAAGGGACACACTGTTTCAACTTTACTGACCTATCCAGATGACAGAAAAGGAAAGGGACAGTTTCTAGATTTCATGAAATCAGTATCATTTTTGCTAACGTTGACCAGAGAGTACACAGGTGGAAAACACCATCTCAACAATTTTATATACATAGTAGCAAAACAAAATGAGCAGCTTAAAAAAAAGCCACAAAGGCAAAACAAAACAAAAATCCTGAACTAAGTTACGTGGAACTAACTTTAGGAATCCAAGGGTAGTTCAAGCATTAGGACTAGCTGGGAAAGGAGGTGTATACTTTGAATTTCAGCACCCAAGAGGCAAAGACAAATGAATCTCAGTTTTGTCTTCATAGGGAGTTCAAGGCCAGCCAGGGCTAAATGAAGTGACCTAGTCTCAAAACAAAACCCAAAATAAGCAAACTCCAACTACCCCCACAAGAACATTAGGAAGACCAAGGCGGTTTATAATTCCAATAAATGACAAGGAAAATGGCATTTGCTTACATCCAGTATTTTTTATTAACTGAAGGAAGAGTCAAGGGTTAATACGAATTCCATCTAATGCTTCTATCCCAAAGGCAGCAAGCAGCTTCCAGGTATGTTTCATGTACAATAAAAGCGTGCATCATCCTATCACCACTGAGACTTTGCAGTATCTCAGAGGTGCTAAACGGAATTATTGAGCAAGGAGAAATGGAGGAAAAGGGGAAAGGAGAAAGGGAGGAGGGAGAGGAAGCAGGAGGGAGGGGGGGCATGGAGGTCGAAAAGGAGACAGTTTTAGACCTGAAGCAGTGGGTCAGAGAGCCAACAGAAAAACTGGAGATAAGTCGTTGGGTACACAGTTAACAGGCACAGATAAAAATGATGTTCATAAACAGAACCAGTCAGCAACATGGGGAGGCAGAAGAGACCTCACTGTTGAAGGCAGCTGAGAAGATGGAACACACAGTTCTCACAAGAGTGTGTGACATCAAGAACCAAGTCTAGCCAAAAGGCAAAAAGTAAGTTTTGTACAAATGAAACCCTCAATATTTTCATTTCAGTTCTTTAATCAACTTACACATTTCATGGGATTTCAGTAAAGATTCCAAAATAAACAGAAAAGATGATTTGAAATTTCCATGTTTGCTCGGCAAGTGTGAAGCCCTGGATTTGATCCCCAGAATGAGCACATATGTGTTATATAAATTATATGTAAATGTATTTCTATGTATCTATGTGTACATGCAGCATGGGAGCTCACTGTGCAAAGAACTCAGTTCTTAATACATAAAGAGCTCCTATGCATTGATAAATGCTATGCAATGGTTAGTATGAATTGTTGACATGATAGAATCCAGAATTGCCTAAGAAACAAGCCTCCAACCACATTTATGAGGGGTCATCTAGGCTATATTCATTATAGTGGGAAGACACAACCATGGTGGGTGGCGGCGTTCCCTCGGCTGGTACCCTGGACTGCATAAAAAGGGGACGTGAGCTGAGCAAAAGCATTCCTTATCTGCTTTCTGAGTATAACTGTCCTGTGATCCTTCTGCTTCAAGCCCTGTGTCTGAGCTCTCAGGCATGGTGGACTGGACCCTTGAATTATGAGGCAGAATAACCACTTCCTTCCTGAAGTTTCTTCAGGTAGTTTCCTTTTTGTTACAACAACAGACAAGTAACTAAGTTACCATCGGCAAATGATCTGTTGGGTGAATGCCCCAGTCAGACACTCTGGAGGAAAAGACGCTTGACTTCACTCCTAAGAGGAAACATTCATGTTAAATTTGGGATGGCATAACATTTTCTACTGAAATTTGACGACAACCAAAAACTTGTCTCATGAGATTTTTATAGCGACAGGGAGAGATAGGCACTAACTGCTTTGGGGGAGGTTACATCTTTACAACTTTTATGAAGAATGCATGGGGAAAATTCTGTGCAAACAAAGGTGATGTACACTCTCCCGTGAACACAGTTCAACACTGACTTCCCGTCGCCTGTTTCCCACACATTCTGGCAATTGCACAGATCAAGCCATGAGCTTACCTTAGCGCTTTCCACGGCAGCGGTGTGCCATAGACTCTCCAGGTCCACGGTGGGAAAGGGGGGACTGGATCAGTAAAGTCTATTGAGTCGTGGAAGGGGAAAAAAAAAACATCTGCTAAGATTAAGGACACACTGATAGGAAGAGTTCCTCAGGAAATACCATGTGAAAATTGCAGCAAGGCAGAATGTCTACCTTATTACCCTCTGTGTGAGAGACTGGAGCGACCAGGATAATTCATAAAAGACTAGAAGCAACAGGGGCTTTTAGGAGTACAAGGACCAAGGAAGACCCTTCCTTTCCTCCCTCCCTCCCTCCCCCCTCCCTCCTTCTCTCCTTTCTCTCTCCCTTATTTCATCACTTCCTCCCTCTCTCCCTGCCCAACTTATTTCCTTCTGATTTTCTTGAAGCCTAGACTGACCTCGCATTCACTACTTAGACAAGTATGACTTTGACCTTCTGATCCTCTCACTCCTGTTCCCAAGTGCTAAGATTACAGGCACGCACCCACAGGCCTTGTTTATGTGGGGGCTGGGGGGTCACACAGGGCTTCCTGTGTGCCAGGCAAACCCTCTACCCATGGAGTCCCATGCCCCCGACTCAGAAGGCGAATTTCCCATCCACCCTGCTATGGAACTTCCAGATGTTTAAAAATTATTTGTCTTCTTGTTGTAGGCTGTGCTTCGTGAAGAGATCATTGTGTTCTCTTGGGATCTCTTTTGTCCCTTCTTGGCTTCCTGTCTGGTGATGTCGCATATGCCCTTGCTATGTAGAAGACCTGCCCTTCACTCTAAGGCCATGAAGCTGAAGGGCCCTCATCAGCTTCCAAAACTGTTGGCTTTAATGAACCTCTTTTCTTCATAAGTGTGCAGCCTGAGGTATTTAATTATAGAAACACACTTTTAGCTGATAGATAAATGGAGTGATCTTACAAAGTGAATCTCTAAGAATAGTTACGTTATAGCATCTCTCGATCATTCTCAGGGTTAAGAGGGCCTTTGCTATATTTTCAGTCTGCCACATCTACCCGCAGTAAATATCCTTATGTTCTACCATCCGAAGGCAGAATCCCGCTGATTTCTGAGAGATGTACAACTGAATACATTGTTTCTGTTTTGGACGACGTCCCGTTCTTCCCTCACACAGGCCAGAGTTCTAAAGAACTAGGGGTTTCACCCCTCCCCATTTCTTTCTCCACTGTTACCTCCCAACCCAGAGAGCCAGCTCACGCTCTGCCTGCAGGGGAAGTGACACCCTCACCCCCTCACCCCTGCTCACCTGCTTGCTTTCTGCTTCCCCTGCTCAGCTCTGCCTGCAGGTTTTGCTTAGGAACTCTTGTTCCTCTAAACATTGCCGTCCAGTCACGCCATTCGAACGTTCTCCTTCCCGTCTGAAAGGCAGGGACCAGTTACTCGGTGTGTGCTAACCTGGGGCTCTGAGAAAATCTGTGGGAATGCTGCCGTGGCCACCAATAAATCTGTTTCAGCTTTGATGGAGGAAGGAAGGCTCAGTCTTCCTCTAAATCTGCTTTTGGTGGTCATGGCCTTTGTGTCATGACTATGCGTGCTCCTGGGTCCCTGTTTTCCTCTCCTTCCAGCTGTTGTGGCACAGGGATCTAGATGCTGTCACGCTGGGAATGGGTGTAGAGTTTGTCTCTGTGGTAGAACATGGGGCCAGCTTCCGTTGCCAAGCCCCACCTGGCTCCGTTCACTCACAGCGGCTCTCTCATCACCCCACCACTGCGGCCCAGGACCCCAAAGTGGGTGTCCCTCTTGTCCTCATCTCCCCCTCCACACAGAGGCTGTCACGACCACCTTAACACCTCTCCACTTTCTTTCCTGCTTCGTGGATATGACATTGCCATATATGACATGGATATGACATTGCCATATATGACATGGATATGACATTGCCACAGGCATTTCTGTCCCTTTGTGTTTTCCCCATTTTGCTCGTTTCTCTACAGTCCCATGGAGAAAGTCCTTGATGCCTCAATGTCGGACACCTCCCGGTGCCCCCCTCCTCTGATGATCTGTTCTCATGCCTGTCTGGGCTCACCTTCATAAAAGGCAGCTCACCCGCCTCACTCTCCAGCTTCCAACCCTGCAAGCATTTGCTTAGGATGAACGTCAAACTCATTAGCGTGGCCCGTGAAGCCGTCCTGCACGTGTCGCAGGCGGGCCCCCCAGCCAGCCTCAGTACTTCTCCACGATGTTTCAGTTGCAGCCATTCTGTCTCCTGGCTCCGGGGCCTCGCAGCAGCATGCTTCTTACCCAGCAGCCTCCATGCCCGGTCTCCACCAGGAAGCCTGGCTTCATCCCCAGCTACATCTGTCTCTGCGGCACCCTCCGCTGCCGTCTCTGTGCATGACCTCTCACCCCCAACAATTCTGTTAAGCGGAAGAAGTGAAAGAGGAGAGTGCTGGTGTGTGGTTGGCTTGCTTGCATTCCCAGTCACCCCCGCTGCATTTTGGCACGGAAGAGATGCTTAGCTGGTCTACGCCGTGCCAGCAAGGAAATACAAGGACACGCTACTGCTGCTTTGGGTTAACAGCACAGGGACTCTTAGGGCTAACAGTGGCGGCAGTGGCAGTGAACGCCAGGTAGGAGGCGACTTGGGAAGGATCAGGCGCCGCCTTTCACCGATCTCATTTATCCTGCCCCTGGCTACCTTGCTGTTCTCATTTAAACTTGTTTTGTAGCTGGTTTTGAGAGAGGACCTCATTGTGTCGACAAGACTGCCCCTGGACTCACTTTGTAGGCCCGTGTTGGCCTCAAATGCACAGGGATCCTCCCATCTTGGCTTCCCAGAGCTGGTGGCTTTACAGCCAACGCATTTGGTTTAGGTGGATTCACATTTTCTCCTGAGTTTTACACCACGCTATGTGACATTCTAACTCATGGTTACACTGACGTTTTGCCTGCTGTACTAGTGACCAGCCTCAAGGATATTCTCAGCAGACAAGCCCCGCCCCCCAGGTGGCTTGGTGGCTTTCTTGAAGCCAGTCCCCCTTGTATTCTTTGCCCACAGTCCTGATTGATCTCACAGAGCAGATAAAGCTTTCACTCGACATTTTAACAAGCCTTTCCCTCGAATGGGGTGTTTTTGAAGACAGTGATGAGGCTATAGCCCACTTTCCCTCCACTGCGTTAAATAAGCTTACATCCTAACGTTTTCTTAAGGCTCTTGATTTTCACTATTTTAATCATCAGAGCTGCTCATCCCTGGTCCTTCACAGACCCAGCTCAGTTCTCAGAGGGCCGGAAGCAGAGCTGCACCTTCATCCACACCGACCCATCCATCCTTTAACCCAGTCACAGAATAAATAATCCACACTGTTCAGCGGCCATTGCACTGGGGGTGTGGCCCGCTGTAAGAAAACAGTATTTGAAAGTTTAAACTTATAAACACAGCTTAACCAGAGAACAGTTACTCACGGCATTCTTGGTGTCCTCAAAGGGCTCCTGGCAATGTACCTGCAAAGAGCAAGATTCTTTGAGATGTAAGATTAGCTTGACTGAGAACGATGTAATATGGCCCCTGACTTTTGAGGAGCAAAGTAGCCATGTAAAATGAAGTGTGTTTCTACTGTCTAGATGCTTGTGCTCAAGCTTTGGCTTCCCAGAAGCCTGTGCCCATGGCTTTCTGCCAATGCCCACTGCCTTGGAGTTCTTGTCTCTCTTAACACCTCATCTGTAGGCCTTGGTCATTCTTACTTTACACCAACCATGGGATAATGTTTGGACCCAACGAGGGCCTTGGCTGATTTTTATGTTGTTGCTCATTAAACACAAAAATAATTACTTCTCCAGATTTCCATTAGCACTGGGGAAGGTTAATAGACTTTTTTTGGTCTCTCGTATAGCTATTTAATGAACTGAACAGTAAGGTCTGCTGTATTTGGTATAGCTGCATTGGCTAATGATATGCATCCTGTTTGTTTATTATGCAAATGATTATTTATTATAATCCCTCACCTCTTCTCATCTCTCCTTCAACACGAGGTGCCTAGATAGCAACAGGCATCCCACCCAGCAGAGAATTCCTATTGCTTTGATGAACGAGATGGCAGTACTACATTATAAAACACACTACCTGGGATTTCTCAGGACCCACAGAGGCACAACTTGTAGACTGTGAATGCCAAGGCTAGCCTGGGCTAGAAAGAGACCTAGTCACAAGAAAACAAACAAAAAAGAGCTTAAAACAAATATAAGAAGGTGAATTGAAGATATTGAAGTCAGACGAAACTCAGAATAACCCACAAGAAATGTGAGAGGAACCTGTCTTGGAGGATAAAGGATGCTATAGAAAGGAATCTGGGCTTACCTAGAGGAATGAGACATGCAGGAGACAGCCCAGCTGAACATACAAGAGCTTATTAAATCTTAAATGATAACACAACAGAATTCACAGCATGAAAATGCAAGCATATTGTTAAAGGCTGGCATAAAGTCAGGAAGGAAGCATGAGGGGTGCTCCCTTTAGTTGTGAGGGTTGTTTAAATACTCCGTAGAGTAATCTGTTACTAGAATGTATATGGCAGAAAAATAAGATAACAGTATAAACCCTATAGAAAATCTTGGAATAAAATAATAAATATGTTCAGTTGAAGAACAACAAAAGAGATAAAATAGTCCTAGGGAAAAATAAAAAAAAAAAACTAAGGGAAAGAGGAAAATGCAACAATGGGAAATAAGTGGACAATGACCCACAGGACCCCAGTGCTCTTGGCCATTCTCTGGGTAATTAAATGTTAACGGGCCATGGCTTCCAGTGAGAGGCAGAGAGCAGTATTTGCGTTGTGTGTGCATGGTCCTGAGTTTGATCCCAGAGCTGCAGAATCAGGGACTTAGCCCAGACCCAATGGAAACCAAACTCAAACAACATCCCAAGTCAAGCAAGGGATCTTAGCAAAGGGGACAGCTAGTCAAAAGGACTTAAAAATGACTAATGTTTATGCCTTCAAGCTCGAGCCTCAAGACACATCATTGGAAAGACAAAATAACTACAAGAAAGATTACAAGTCCAGTTATTACTTCTTGTGTGTGTGTGTACACATTTATGTATGCATACACATGTGTGTGAGTATACATGGATGTGCATGTGTGTGGAGGTCAGAGTTCATGTCAGGTGATTTCCTTGACTGCTCTTCACTTATTTATTTATTTATTTATTTATTTATTTATTTATTTATTTTGAGACAGCCTCTTTCACTGAGACTGGTTGGCTCGCTGATTGGCTAGGCTGGCTGGCCAGGGAACCGCAGGGATCCTGCTGTCTCTGCCTCCCCAGTAGCTGGGTTACAGGCTCACACTCAGTGTTCAGCTTTTTATGTGGATCATGCTTGTATGACACTTTACCAGCTAGTCAACATCTGGGCTCCTACGATCTATGTTACTTCTGTCTTTAACTTCCCAGGCCTCATATTAATTCTAGCAATTCTCATGTCACAAGAATAACAGGAATCATTTTGCCCCTAAAAAGTAGTCATAACTTCTACTTACCATTTATTTTACAAACTCTCATTAAAACCTAAATCTCTTGACCCATGGTTCATGGCTCCTCAAACTCATAAATCTTACACACCATTTCTTTTCTAGAAGACTGGGCTTCTGCGTGTGTTTTTGCCCCTACAAAAGCAGCCCGGTTTCATACAAATTGAAAAGACCTTCACACCGCCCCTTTGTCTCAAGTGAAAAATGAGCCCCATTTGACGGCTGACCTTCCCAACAACTGCAGCTTCCACAGAAATACACCGGCTCTGTCGGCCCACAGCTGTTGCCTTCTAAGAATCATTACTTGTGTGCTCAAGGGAAAACTCGTAGAACTGGTGGGACCGACTTGATGGAACCCTTGAAAATACAATAAAACAAAATGGATGTATATAAACTGTGAGTGAGGGCTTTGATTAGAAGCAAAGATGAGTTGTTTTTTGTCCTGAAGTCAGGCTGAGCCGTGTCAGCATTTGAGAAAATTGGCTGTTAGCATTCTCGATTACCGGGGAGACTTAAACTGGATGTTGCTTTTCATGGCCCTGACTCAAAATGGATACAAGTGAAAATTTCAAAACTAGTGAAGTTTAAAAAAAAAAAAGAAGTGTAACAGAGACTTTGCTAGGACTTTGGAGCAGGTAAGCTAGTGTCTTTTTCTGTTTTAGTAACTCACTTCTCACTATTAATCCAATCAAACAGATGCTCAAAGTAGCCGTTGTGTGATCTTGTGTGGAATGTCTAGGGACAGGAGGACAAGAATCGGTTTCCTGACTCTTGTGCCCTTGACTGTGACCCAACAAAGACTTCTGTCTCTCATCCTGGGTCTTTGCCAAGTGATTCTCTGCTGCCCAGAGCACTAGGAACAGGGGTTGTATTTATTTCTGTTAAAGGCAGGGCATTTAGAGTTTGCTAGAATAGGGAGTCAGCTTCATTTCTTACTTTTAGATGTTCCAATCACATTGCCGTGGTCACCTCTGGAAGATTGGACCAATGCTTTCTGGTTTTGTTGCACTGAGAATTTTGAGCGAGGCCCTGGTAATGTGAAATGAACCTCAGGCCTCTTGGGCCCCACCTTCAGAGGGTGTGTCTTTGAGTCCATTCTTCTCTCTTCCTCCTTGCTTCCCTCTCTCTCCCTGGTGGACTCTTCAGGTGCTGTGTGAGGTTCTGTCTTATTACTCAGCTTCAAAGAGGATGAATATGATGCAGAGAATTCAAATATTAAATTGCAGGTTCTCTGGCGAGCAGCCCCTGTAGATAAGCATAGAAGAAAATGTAATTAAAACCAATTAACATGAAATTGGAGTTTCTGGTCATTAATTGTGCACAGTCTGATTTAAGCCGCTGGAGCAACTTGGGTTTTGCAGAAGAGATTAGATCTGTGGGCGAAGGACGAAGGATGCCTTTGTCTTTGCAGGTGACTTTGCTTGGAAATTCTGTGCAAGTTGCATTTCAAATTAGTCAGATGGTGGTAACAGAGCTGGTGATGGAGTCATTTAAAGCTTCCACCCTTCAAGATCACAGCACCCGATGTTTTTTGTCAGGCATCCAGCAGTTTCTACCTTCCTGGAAACAAAGTTTATTTTTTCTTTCTTTATGGCATCGATTAAGTAATAATATTGAAACTTTTTCACAAAGAGCTACTTCTTCCCTTTGGGGGAGGCAACTGGAGTAACACCTGCTCTGATTGACTGATCCAGAAGCAGCTTTGCTCTGATTGGTTAGTTACAAAGTCATCGGCGCAGAAGGGTCCATCTTAGCTGTGCCCACTCATGTGACCATAGAAGCCTGTTTCAGCATCTTGCCTGGACTCTGCATCTCAGGGGAGTATAGAAGGCAATCTCCAGAAATCTCCCGAGAGAAACTGAACCCTGGCTGTAGCTCCCACTCCCCATGTGACAACCCTGTGGAGAGATTGTCCACTAGCTCCTATGCTGTCTGAGGACAAAGACATACGAGGTGACTGTGGCTGTCTTTCATGCCAGGTTCCCCATGACAGTTTACCTGGGCTTGCTCCAGCCACTTTCGAAGAGCAGCATGGGTCGCCAGCCCTGAGGTGGCCCCATCTGGAATGTCTACTGCAGGGGAAGCTTCCCCAGCCGCCTCTGGCTCAGGATGAGGGTGGGTAGCAGGGGCCTGAGAGTCAGTCATTAGTCCTGAACTTACTGGGGGAGGGTAGGATGGGGTGGGTAGTCAGTTTGAATAGAAAGACGCATTTGCTGTTTTTAAAAGAAAGAAGAAAGCCCTGTACATCCCAAGTCCTGTGGCTGTGGACATAAAGGCTTTGCGATGGCCATATTATTATCATTTTTATTATCCAATTTAGAAGCTATAGTCTACAACATATTTGCCCATGAAAGGTTAGAAAAATACCATTTGTCTTGTCTTTGATATATATATGCATATATATACATATATATATATATATATATATATATATATATATATATATATCTTTTTGTGGTACCAGGATTGAACCCAGGGCCTTATACATTTTGGATGAGTGTTCAGCCCTCTCTTTAACCTTTTATCTTGAGCCATGCTCTCCCTAAGTTGATCAGACTGTCCTTGAACCTAAAAACTTCTTGTCCAGCCTTTCCAGTACTTGGGACTAAAGGCCCATGCCACCAAGCCTGGCTATAATATATTTTTTGATGCATATGCCCTGCTACATTTTATACCACGAGGTATGAAATTACTAAATGTAAAAGTCCTTGCCATACTTTTATTAATAGACCCATGTGACATCAAAATTAATATTTAACCAGCAAAGGCCAGAAGAAAATAGACCCCGTCAAAAGGCGGCTCCTCTGGGAGGTAG